ACAGGAGGGCGCAGCAGCTGAAGACGCAGCTGGCCACGCTCACCAGCGCGCTGGCCACCGTCACGCAGGAGAAGTCCCGCATGGAGGCCTCCTACCAGGCGGACAAGAGGAAGATGAAGCAGGAGCTGGAAGAGGCCGCCGGGAGAGCGGAGGCCGAGCGGGAGAGGCTGGAGGCCGAGCTGCGGTCGGCGCAGGAGCAGCTGGCGGAGACCAAGGCGCGCCTCATCACGCAGCAGCACGAGCGGGCGCAGGAGCAGGGCGACCACGCGCTCATGCTGCGCGAGCTGCAGCGGCTGCTGCAGGGCGAGCGGGCGGCGCGGCAGGCCGCCGAGCTGCAGCTGGAGGAGGCGCGGGCGCCGGCGGCGGGCGGGCAGAGCGCGGCCGAGCTGCGCCGCGAGCTGGAGGAGCTGCGGGGGGAGCTGCGCGCCGCGCGCGAGCAGGGCGCCCGGCCCGACCCGCGCCTGCGCCGCCTGCACGACGAGATGGCCGCGCTCAAGAGCCACTGCCAGGCCCAGCTGCTGCTCGAGATGAGGAAGGTAACGGGCTCGCCGTAATGGAGAACCCTCTCGGCGCCCTGCGGCGGGACCGCGTTCCCCGAGGGGCACCGAGGCTGCCGGGGACCCCGAGCRTGGGCCACCCTGAGCAGGGGCGGCCTCCGGGGTGGCCGCTGCCCTGGAGAGCGCCCCTGGGTGCTGGAGACATGGCCGCTGCGGTGACAGTGGCAGGGACCGGGAGCAGAGGCGTTGGCTGCGGCCCGCTGAGGCAGCGAACGCGCTCTGCTCCTGAATGTGCCAAGGCACAATTGCCACGGCACARGTTATATCCTGTCATGAGCTACAGAGCCCTCAATGCATAGGGCTTCCAGGGGTGCACATCGAGATGCACCCAAAATTGGGCCATAAAGCCCTCTTTCCTGCCCACGGCTGSTGAGGGGTTTCTGTAACACGAGCTGCTGAGGCCGCTGTGGGAGCCGTTGTGAGCGACGCCGTGGGCTAAAGGCGACRTCCGCGGGGTCCGAGGGGACCGGCAGCAGGTAGCGGTGGTGGTGTCCCCACCACTGTAAGTGTGGAGACACCAGAGGATGGTGTCTCCATGGCCATAAAAGCAGCGGGCACTGGGTGTTTGCGGAGAGCCCTCGGGATCCGCTGAATTCTGTTGGTATCTGTGCAGTGCCCCATCGTGTTGCCCATCCAATGCCCCATCGTGTCACCAGATTCATCCATAGCGTTTCCATAAATGTCACTTAGATGTAGAGGGGTTTAAAGAACAGGCCGATTTCTAAAACTCCCCTGTCAGACTGTGCCATGAGTGCATTCCTGCCCAGAGATGCAGCAGGATTCCCGCAGGATTCCAGGACAGGGAATAGAAGCAAACCTTTGCTCCTTGAAGCCCTTTTGAAGGCCGGGCCAGTCGGCGTGGTGGCTCACAAAGGGTCTGGGGGCACAGGAGGGCTCTGCCCTGCCCCGGCGCAGGGTGCTGCCCGCGATGCCGGGCGCTCACGCGTCTCTCTGCTCGCAGGCGGCCCAGGCAGAGGAGCAGCTCCGGCAGCAAGCGCAGACGGAGGAGCGGCGAGTGGCCAGCCTGGAGGCGCAGATCTCCGAGGTGTCCGAGCTCCTCGGCACCTACGAGAAGGCCAAGCAGAAGGACCAGCTGGTCATCCAGAAGCTGAAGGACCGAATCGCCCAGCTGGACCTGGAGAACAAAACCCTGGCCATCGCGGCGTCCAGCCGCTCTGCCGCGGACGTGCACGTGGAGGAAGCCAACCTGGACGTGAACGTGCTCAAGGATAAGATGGAGAAGCTGAAGAGGCTGCTGCAGGCGGCGGCCAGCAAGGGCCAGCCCGCGCTGGACATCGAGAAGCTGTGCGAGCTGGAGCTGCCCAAGGGCCCCGAGACGGGCGACGGCGAGAAGGCCACTGCCCTGTACTACCAGCAGGAGCTAAAGCAGCTCAAGGAAGAGTTTGAGAGGTACAAGATGAGGGCGCAAGTGGTGCTCAAGAACAAGTCGGCCAAAGACGGCAGCCTGGCTAAAGAACTGGAGGAAGCTCAAGAGCAGCTGGCGGATCTGAGGGAGAAGTACGTYGTGCTGCGGCTCTCCTCGGAGGAGATGGAGAAGCAGCACCAGCAAGATCTGGAGGCCAAGAAGCAGGAGATGTCCCAGCTGCAGCAAGCRCACAGGCAGGAACTGGAGCGCTGCCAGCTAGATTACAGGGAGCRAACCCTGAAGCTGGAGGAGGAGATGCACAAGCAGCGGGAGCGGGCGCTRGCCGTGCTGGCGGAGAAGGACCAGGAGCTGGAGCAGCTCAGGGCYGTCACGCTGCCCTGTGGGCTCCAAGGGTCCAAGAACTCCCTGAGCCCGGGCAGTGACGTTGCCAGCGGTGACTCGCCGGCAGACGACTCCTCGGAGGGTCTCCCGCAGGCTCTTCCCCTCGCCGCCCCCACGGAGCCCACGTTCTTCCTGTACGCGGAGCAGCTGGCGCGCAAGGAGGTGGAAATCGTGGCGCTGAGGAAGCAGAAGCACAGGCTGGAGACGGAGCTTCACCGGCTCCAGGAGAGGCTCCTGGTGGAGGGGGAGAAGCACCGCGAAGAGGTGACCGCGCTGCAGGACGAAATCCAGAAGAATTTCAGAGACAAGAGCAGAGAGGGGGCCAACCTGGAGTACCTCAAGAACATCGTCTACAGGTTTTTGACRCTGCCGGATTCCCTTGGTCGCCAACAGACTCTCACTGCCATACTGACTATTCTGCATTTCAGCCCGGAGGAGAAGCTGAGTATCGCGAAGCAGTCGCCTTACGGCAGCCGGTGGCTCTCTGGGAAGAGATGAGGGGGGAGATTTGCGCTCAGAGCTGCTTTTCTACAACAACGTGTTTGATTGTTATCAAGCCAAGGCCGGATCGCGCGCGGGTGAGCTCTTACCAGGCACGTGGGAGGAAGCAGAGCGCTGCACTGCGTCAGCACTAAGGTGAAGCAGAATGGTTCCAGCTGCTCCCATGGGATCCAGCCCTCTTGGGTGAGGTTCCCCCCAAGTAGGAACTTGATTAAAAAAAAAAATAAGGTGCTGATAGTTCTTAAAATCAACTTAAATCTGTTCTGTCAGCATGAGATGGGGAACCTTATTATTAGGGTGAAAGGTGCTTCTATCTTGAAACTCCAGATTTCGATCAAGCAGATGATTCAAAATCTATTATAAAAAGCACTTGACGTGGTGCTAAAATTACATAACACAGAATGGAAAGCCTGCAAGCAGGATGACTCCTAACTACGAGCATCACCCAGCGCAGAAAGTCCCCAGCAGTTGCACAGGAGGTGTCGTTTCCCGAGTAAGGGCTGTGTGCGTGGGTGCCCCTGGAGCCCCATGTTGGGGGTTCTCCTGCCCAGGAACGCTCCCCGAGCAGCTCCGGTGCTTCCCGGGAGGACTGGGAGCTGCTCCCAGTGTTCAGCATTTCAGCCCCTTGTAACTGAGGGAGCCGGGAGTGTTTCCCTGGTTTTCAGCCCCCGAGCAGCCGCTGGGCTATGGGGCTCGGACTCTGATCCTTTGTGGGCTGAGAACTGGGGTATTAACCACAAGCAACCCAAGGAAAGGCCTAAATAGACAAATTCATCCTTTAACACTCAGACAGTTACCTCCTAACACCCTTCCGAGCGTTTCTGAGGGATTCCTGATGCTTCAGGTGTGCTCCAGTGGAGCTTTGGGCCGTGCTAGACGTGCTCGCGCTAGATGGGCAGGAAGCTGCTGTGGGCTGCAGGGGGGTACCGGGAACACGTGTGGGCTGCAAGGGGGCACTGGGGACACGTGTGGGCTGAAGGTGGCACCTGGGACTGGTACACATGGGACAGCCGGTGGCGGGCGGCTCGCGGCCCGTGCCTGGGGGCCAGCGTGTCGCTGCTGCGCTGCCCTGCGGTCCTTGGTGCTAATTGCTGGGGGCGAAGGGGGGACGTTCCCGAGCCTGGCAGGGAGGCAGTCAAGCCCCTTGCAGCAGCTCTGCCCTCTGAGGAGCGGCGTGATGCCAGCCGGGAGCTGCCAGGGCTGCCCGGACCCTCACTGATGGAGCCAGATGCTGCAGTTCRGGGAACAGGGGGCTGTTCCTGCCCATTGTTGGTGCCGTGCAGGGCTTGGGGACACACGTTGTGCCCTGGGCCCAGGGCCCATGGGCCATACAGGCTCTGCGGRCACCCTGTGCGGTGCCAACCAGGCGGGAACAGCTACCATGCCCCGGAGCTCCCCGGGAATGGGCCCCTTCCCAAGGGTGCCGGATGCGGGGCCGCTAGAGGGCACCCAGTTCCAGGCTTCCCGAAGATCCGCGGGCCGCTTCCCCGTGCCGAGCTTGCCTGCAGTGGGAAGGGGAGCCGTGCAGGGCTGGCTCCACTCCCAGCGATCCAGACTGCGCAGCCAGGCCGGTACTGCAGGGTGCCGAGCGAAGGGCCCCCATGGAGCCACTCGTTCCAAGGAGCTATAGCGACTGGAAAGGAGCCTCCATCCCCGCTCCTGGGTGGGTAACGGTGCCCGTGGGGAGGCGGCTGCGGAGCCCCCTGCCCCTCTGTCGCCCCGTGGGGTCCTGCGGGTGAGATGAAGCCCRGGGGCTGCCCTGGGGCCGGGTGCATCCCAAGAAGAGCTCCATCCTGCAGTGCCAGGCTCCCCGGAGCACCAAAAGCTGGATSCGCGCAGGAGCTGCAAGGAGAGGGAGCAGGAGCTGCGAACACGGCCCTGGCCCCATGAGACCACAAGGCTTCACCCGGGCAGTGTGATGTGAGTCCTGTGATCGCAGCAAGGGCAGGCGGCAGCGCCCGCAGCTCCTCCAGCCTGAGCACAGGCTGCAGACGGAGCACGCGAGAGGGCATTGGGGCAGCTAGAGCAGAGCCATGGCTGAGGACATGGCACAAGGACGGCACCAGCATCCAGCGGGAGAAGCTGCAGGAGCGGGYGGTATTCCTGGTGTTCCCGAAGGCAGGACATGCCACCATCAGGAAACGCTGGCTTTGCAGGAGCTCTGCTGGCTGCACAGACGCAGACCGGTGTGCAGTGCCCTCCACGGGGCACGGTGACATCAGGGACAGGTGGAAATGTCACCTAGTCCCCTGACCACCTCTGTCCCTCGAGCAGCGTCACAGAGGAACCGCAGAGAAGGGGGCAGCGAGGAGAACACGTCGCGCCGCTGCCCACGCACAAGCAAATGCCTCTCCCCACAGAGACCCCAATTCCTGAGCAAATAACCCCCGCCCCAGCCTGCTGAGACCCCAACACAGGAGACAGCCTGGTTTATTTTTTTAACTAATATTTTAGCTAATCTTTACTATACACTAGTGCTCGAGTCCGAGCGCGGAGCTCTTGCACAGACGCCCCTGTTCGCACAGGACTCGCTGTGGGGGCCGGGCTGCCCCGGGGACGCAGTGACCTGCCCTGGGGACACAGTGACCTGCCCTGGTCCCCACGGCGCCTGGCAAGGCTCAACCCTGCTGCCGGCATGAGGAACGAGACGGGAGGGCAGCAGAGAGGCCAGGGCCCCCCTGAATCCCACCCTGAATCCTGCCCTGCTGGAGGCAAGCGCCCAGGCCTTGGCCCCAACGCAGAGGGTCAAACGGGGAGGACGGGCCATGGGACAAGGGTGACCCAGCCTGTAAAACACAGATCCTCCGTGGAGCTGTGTGGGCCACGCTGGGGACCTCAGGCCCAGCCCTCGGACCCGTCTGCAGGGCAGAATAAAGTGCATTTAGGGCCCTGTTCCTCCCCGGGGATCTCCGGGAGCCGCTCGAGATCCCRTAGCTAGAAAGGTTGATGGGTGTATGTGGGCAATGACCCCTTGCACAGCCCGTCCCGTGCTGCTGGCAGTCTGTCTGCCGCTTTCCGAGCGGCTCCTCCCTGTGCAGCTCCAGGGGCAGCAGTTTTTCCCATTTTGTTCCCAAAGCGGGGCCAGGGCGCGCGTGCTCCCGTGTCCAAAACCAGCCGCCTCGGCGAGCAAAACCCAGGGCAGGTGATGGTGGCTGCAGGTCAGCGGAGAGGTTTCCTTGGCAAAGGGAACCGTGGCCGTGGCAGGGCCCGCGCTCAGGGGTGGCGCAGCACCGCCTGCAGATCCTCGGGCAGCGAGCCGATGACCGTGTCGATGTAGAGAGCCACCCTCTGGAGCGTTTCCTCCTTCACCGGGAGGTGCTGGCACCTGGCTCTCACCTGCGGATTTTAAAAGAGCTGCAAATGTCTCCTTCTGCTTTGCCTCTTCTACTCAGGGGAGGGGACAGCAGGCAGGAAATTGGTACCTGAGCCTCAAGGAAATCAGAAAAGGCAAAACTGAGAGTCGTCTTTTAGGCAAAGACCAACATTCCGTGACTCTCCCATTTGCCAGTTCTCCAAAATAGGGAGGGGAAACCAAGTTTTCTTAGCACCAAGTGTGATTCACGTCCCTAACCACTCCCACTACCGCAACAGAAAGGAAGGCGTGCAGGAAGAAGGAAGGAAAACCTACCAGCTTCTCACGAAGTTTTAGCACCAGGTCTACAATCTCCACCTCCGACTTGTCCTTCATCCAGGCCACAATGTTCTAAAGCAACAGAAAGACAGTTTTCTTCAGGGACGGTCCTTCCCTACAGAACCGTTCTCACAGAGACACCTAAGCCAAGCCTGCAAACGAAACCTCTCAATTCTGCCTGCAGCACCTGAGCCTAAACGAGCAAGGCAAAGTGCTCAACTCCGTTTCCTGCCCACGGCAGCATCATTCTCTTGCCTGCAAGAGAAGAATCAAGGAAAGAAGACTCAAGGAAAGATGCAGGCACGAGCCAGAACTGTATTTTCCAGGGATATCAAGCTCTATAAGAGCTAAATCAYATAGGGCCAGGAAACATTGAAGTGGCACTGCCCCCATCTCTCAGGCTTCCCATCCTGGTTGGAAAATCTGCAGTGGCAACATACCGCGTCACAGATGGCTTCCAAGTGCAGGGCTTCCAGCTTCTGGGTCATTTCCTTGTGCCGCTGCCGGTACCAGCCGTCGAAGTTGGGAGACTTGAAGAAACGCCTGCAGGAAGCAAGGTGACATTGAGAGGGGGACACCGAAGGCTCCAGGGAAGCGCGGTGGCTCCACCACACACCGACTTCCCTTCACATTCTGCTCTAGTTATCATTCCTGCTCATCTTTGCATCCTCACACCTTTCCACCACGTGCTGGCATTGACCCACGCTGCATGTAACTGGTGATTTACATTCCCCTACACAAACAAGGTATCAGGTAGCTTAAAGGATGCATGTCTTCGACCTCTCCAATGTACACAATAATAAAGCTTGATTTACACAGCAATAAAGCTTGGTTTTACTGATGCAAGTGTGCACGTGAGCAGCGGACAGCACAACACCCACTTGATTTCAGTGCTGCAGAATCTTAGACCAAAAGCCAAGCGTTGTGGCAGCAGGTGAAGGGAAGATGCTATAAGGTGCCATATGGAGCAGGGCATAGGTGCTGTAAAGGACAGTCCTCCATTGGCACTGGGGTGTTTCAGACACTCTCCAGAATTTCCTGCTGTTAAGACTGGACTGCTCCAGTATCTCTCTCGCTCAGCCTGTCCGCTGAGGACACTTCATCAGCAGAATTTAGTTGTTTGTAACATTTTTTTTTTGGCATCTCTGAGCTCTTTTGCTTGCTTTCTCCCAGCACAGTGGAGTCTCCATCTCAACCAAAATCTCAAAATGCTGCTGTGATACAGACTTTTTTTTTTTAATTAAGGGTGTGACTCAGAAATAGGACACCAAACAGTAAAATGTACACAATTCCCAACAGCTAAGAACCTTGGTATTCATGAGACCCTCCGTGTACATCAGCCTCTTGCAGAATTCAAGCAATTTATTGAAAAAAAACTTGTTTGTTACCATTTTGCAAAATATTAGATATCCAAAATTAGATCTCCCTACCACACCCGGGCCGTAAGAGCAGAACTGCTGGTTTTCTGCTGAGTACATTAAAGAAAACGGTGCAAATCAGTTTCACAATGCCCTGATCCACGATCCTGATCCAATCACTTCATGATTGTTTTCACTTGCCGTATCAGYGCACCTCTTTTTCCTTCTGGGTAGATATCTGCTTCCTGCATTTTTCCCACTCATACTATAAGGAGTGTCCGGGCCACTCGTAATTAATTATCCTTTAGGAGAACTATGGGCCAGCTCTTCTATAGGGTCTATTAAATTCCACCCTGAACACTGCATCTTTTTATGCCTGCCTGTCTGCAGTGGGATYGAGATGCTGCACAAGGACACACAGGACCATGACACATTCTTCTACCCCATCTAATAAGGACCAGAAAGTTGGCACAGAGATTCCCTGCAGGACAACAAATGACAGCTGGTGTCAGAGACAAGTCCCCATCTGCAACAAGGGATCCTCTCCCTCGATGAAGGGTTAGTTGATGTTATTAAAGCAGGAGAGTTTACAGCTAATCTCGACTGTAGCTACTCATCTAAGAGATTACATAAAAGGCAGGATGGATACTACCCTCTACTTACTCTCCCTTGGTATTATTACTGAATCAGTTCTTCCAAGGCATTAGTTTTTCAGGTGACTGATCTTGGTCTTGAAATTCACTTTTTACTGMTGACTGTAATTCAGGATTTGATGTTCATTATAAGCCGGAGCTGCTGTTAAGGGAATAAAGTAATTGCCATACTCTTACCTGTAGAGGCCCAACCAGTCACCTTTAAGCACGCAGGTGAGCTGGGGACCAGCATGTTCAAGGGTCTTCATGAAATCTTCCTGTCGGAACGGACGAATTTGGGGGGGATTCTGCACAACACAAAGAGCGTATTACACAGCAGCCTAAAGGAAAGGGGTAGGAATYGGGTTTGGATTTACAAGGGAAGAGGCTGCTCAAGATGGATTCAATAACTATGAGAACCCGTGACAGACAGACTGAATAAATATGAGAAGGCATGAAAATCTTAATGTGCTATGCTAGCAAAATTCAAATTAGGGACTCACAATAGCTGAGGTGAGCTAAAATTACTGCAAAACAGGAAGCATCTGCCGCAGTGTTTGTTTCAAGTTATTTATTTATTTTTTTTTTWAAGAAGCAATAGCTTCTTCCTTCAATGAGGGAAGTTTGCATACTGTCAGGGTGTGTGATCRGCATGTGATATAACTATCCCCAATCCCTGCAGTCCAAAGGAAGCACAAGAGCCTAAAAGCTAAGCATACCTTCCATGGAGTAATGGCCCTCTGCAGGGGCATCAGACTTGCAATATAATGCTCCTGAGAAGAAACCCCAAAAAGTAGATGTTAGATCAGCCAGGAAACCCCTTGCAGAGTCGCTGAGTGTAATGATCTTCTCTGATGCATCATCACWGGCACAGCCTCTGGTCTGTCTCACCTGCCCTGCACATCTGTGTATGATTTACACGGACCCAAGCTGTGCAGCGCGCTCCTTCCCACCGGGAGCGAGGTCAGGACCCTGTGTGTTGCGAGAGCTCCAGGCAGGCCACGGGAGACAGCTCAGGTGGGAAGAGGGTGTCAGGAGGGACTAGAGTCGGACAAGATGCTCTCTCTTCCCATTTGCTTTCCCATTCTCTCCTCCCATTTACTTTCCCATAAGGTGACAAAGAGAAGGAAGTGGAGGAGCCTAACATGCCCAACAGGATAACCATCAAAAGGAAGCTCGAAAGAAATTTTTTTTTTTTAAATATCTGCCTTAGGATGGTTATCACTGCATGGACAAGGCTCTTACACACTGTAGCAGAGTTTTTCAGAACCAGAGAGAGTTTCATCCTGGCAGTGCGTTTAACTCCAACCTACCAACAGAAGAGGAGTGTCCCAGGCTCCTGAACCTTCCCTACACATCTGCTTTCCTACCCTGTGGCAAGAATTAGCCATTAGAAACAAATCACAGGGAAAAACCATTTCTGCGCTGCAGGAAAGAAACCAGAGTGCTCTGTCTGTATATATGAAGTGCTGAATAACCAACCTGCAGCCTTTCTGCTAATTGCTGCAATTTGCAATCAAGCGACACGTTTATTCTCTTTCCAAGGAGTCAAACATCTCGAGTGGCAAATCCTGACTCTGTTASAGCTGCTCTAAGAGAGGGCGAGTGCCAACTTGTCACTCAGCATCTCCTGCTCAGCTGCCCTCACCCTTTCACCGGGCTGACAAGTCTCTGCTCAACCTACCAGCGGGATAATGAAACTCTGGGTGAGCTCCAGGAGGTGACGCCGCAGAAGGGCGCTCTGGACTTCAGACGGGCGTTTCCGCTGAATCCCCTGCAAACACAAGCAGGGCGTTCACGGAGATGGATGCAGACCTTGCAGCGCCGCAGCGAGAAGCAGCCAGAGACGGCGGAGACTGCACTGCACCCTTTGCGCTCTGACTAAGGGTGTCACCCACCTTTCAGTGCAAGAACCTGATTTTTCAGACCCTTTCTTCACAGTGATTACTCTCATGTTACCATGGTTCCAGGGTTTAACCCATGGGATCAAGCGAAAAGTTTAAAAACTAGTATGATAAATATGTTCAAGTATCCTGGACTAAACAATTACACTCTAAAATCAAATTACTAAAATCAATTTGAAACAAAAGATATCAAGTTGAAGAAAAGTCTGCTCTTTATGGAATGTTTTGGCTATTCAAACCAAGCATAATTTCCCCCTAATGACATATAGGATGKGGGATAGAGTTAGAAAGGCTTACCTTTAATAATCTCTTTATCAGGGTTTTGTCTTTGTGAAGAAATGTTTTATAAGAAGTGTAGATTCCTAGATTTAAAAAAAAAAAGAAAATCAAACAAAAACAAATCCCAGAAGTTAGAAATAAATCTTTCCCATGTATTTAGAAGAGGCACCATTACACAGCGCAGGGATAATAGAACTGGAATGGAGTGCASGAGTTGCTGGGTGAGTGTGGAGAGGTCAATAATCAAGGCCTCCCAAGATGATAAAGCTGCTAATGCAGCCAGAACTCTCAGCAGAATTAAATGGCCCCTGGGCTATCCTAAAAAGCCCAGGGCTATCCTAAAAGCCCCTATCCTGTGCTTATGGTGAGCCCACTACTGGAGTCCCCTCCAGGCTAGCTCTGAGCTGAGCAGTTAGTTTAGTGGCAGATGGCTGTATCTAGGTTAGCAAGTTCCTTTCACTCCCATCACATTTAAAAATATGTTTAATTAAAAAAAGAAAAATTATCATTTCTTTCCCAAGCCTAAAATAATCTGCTCAGTTTACAAATGCTTTCCACTTTCAGCGTTTCTGCATCAGGACCACATAGCGTGAGAAAGTAACAATACCAGAGCATCCATCTATTTATACCTAAAGAGTAAGGTATGTTATGTTCGCATGCCTGCAAGGCATCCAAAATCCCCCAGGTGAAGGTAAACAATATTAAATTATGTCCGACAAAAGGAATTACCTGGTTTTGTGTCTAGAGTTCTTAGCTTGTTTAGCTTCTTCACTTTAACCTGCTTGGGCAGGTCCCCTGTGGAAAAATCCCAAATCAAATCGTTCAGCCTCTGAATCTATCCTCAGAGCCACAGCCTGCACACGAGGGACTTTGCAAGCAGGAACATCCACTGCTACACGTTAACATCTTCAATCCTATCCTCCCTTAACTTCATCCTCACAAATCTTATTAGCTGCCAACTCTCCTCTAAAGTTTTGAAAGGAAAGTGTCAGTCACTGCAAAAGAAACCCAATATTCAGCCCAAAGCCGGGCAGTTTTCTTGGCTTCATAGTTAATAACTGGAATCTCACTCTCAAGTGTCTCTTTTTTTGTCCTTGCAATGTTCTCTTTCCTGAACAGAAAGTGGTTTTGGTTCTGCTAGCTCACTGCTCATCTGCAACAAGGCCCAGCAGCACAACAGGACTTTGGTGTCCCCCTTACCTGACATTCGGAGCTCCCCAACCCGAAGGATGTGGGGCCAGTGCTGGAGGGTTTTAATGAAGAAAGGGTTTGTGACTCCCACAACAATGTTTGGCCTAGGAAGGGAAACAAGCACACATGTGGACAGTGCTAACGGCCCAGTTTCCTTCCCATGGATGGTGACAGGAGGGTTGCAAGGCTCTGCTGGCTACTTACGGAGCTTGTGTCCTCGTGGTGTACTCCTTAAATTCACTGTCATGGATTGTGAAGTAGGGACGGTAGTCACAGCAGTACTTTAGTGGAGCAAGACAACTGTCAGAACAGAGGTAGAGAAGTTTCCTTATAAAGTTCATAGAAGAGGACATGTTTTTGCATCAAATTAATAGTCTAGAACAGTGATCTGTCCTGGTAGAGACTCACTTTTCCTACCATCAATGGAATAGGAGCAAGACTTTGTTGCTATTTTGCTTCTTCAGGGATTCACAGAATATGTTGGGTTAGAAGGTGCCTCTGGAGATGATCCAGTCCAATCCCCTCGCTCCAACAGGGTCAGCTAGAGCCCAAGACTCTGTCCAGGCAGGTTTTAAATATCTCCAAGAGTGTAGATTCTACTAGCTCTCCAGGCAAGCAGTTCCATCAGTCACCCTCACAGTACAAAAGCGCTTTCTTGTGCTCAGCTGGAATTTAACCTGTTCCAGTTTGGGCTCGTTACCTCTTGCCTTGTCACTGGGCACAACCAACAAGAGTCTGGCCCTACCCTCTTTACACCATCCTTTCAGATGTTTATCAACATTGATGAGATCCCCTGGACCTCCTCTTTTCCAGCTTTCAACCTCTCTCTGCATGGGAGATCCTCCAATCCCTTCATCCTCTTTGTGGCCCTTCACTGGACTTGCTCCAGCAGGTCCACGTCTCTCTTGTCCTGGAGAACCCAAACCTTGACCCAGCACTCTAGGTGTGGCCTCACCAGGACTTCATGAGCTGCTTCTCTGCCCATTTTTCCAGCCTGTTTAGGACCTTCCAAAGGGCAGCCCAACCCTCTGGGGTATCAGCCACTCCTCCCAGCTCTGAATGACCCATGGACTTGCTCAGGTGTATCTGCTCTCTAAAAGGGGCACCTGCATTTCAACTGTGGACCTCTTGATCTGCAATCATATCTGCCACAGAGCCATCCCTCGCATGCTTTCTTCTAACCGAATCTAACAGAACTGATTTGGCAGAGGAGTTAATCTCTGATGAAGAGAACTGCCAGAACATATTACAGTCATTTCCAAATTCAAGGGCACTACCTGGTAAGCGCCAGAACCATCTCTGAAGACACCGTTGGGGACGGAGCCATTACGACAATTGGCTCCCCCAGCAACATCAGCTCCCATAACATCTGGATATGAATTAACACTGGCTGGAAACATCTGTTGGTGAAAGGAGGAATGGAAATTGAGGTTAGAAGTGCAGTTCAGAAAAGACCAGACTCCAGAGGAATTCACATAAGCAGATCCAGATTTGCCTCTATCTTGGTACTTTTTTTRGGATGTAGTTTTAGCGTCTTGCAATCAGAGCAGCATGTGTCTTTTACGCATGCTGACACTCAACCATTCTTATACATGTTGAAGGAAGGGCTCTAAGCAATGTAAAGCAACCTGCAGATCATATTTCTCTCAGTATTTTTTTTACCTGAGCAAAATAAAGTGCATGAGGATTAGAACACATATGTGGTTATTAGAATAGCATCCATCGTGCTGAAAAGTTTGATTCAGAAGCACAACGTGTATTTTTCAGTATTTAAGCTGATCAGCAGCTGAGGTCAAGAAAAAAACACACAAGGTCTCCTCTAACACAGATCCTGGTGGATTTATTAAGGCCAGTGCACATAGTTTTAAGCCCTGCCCAGGCCCTGCAAGCTCAGTATTCCAAACTATGCTGAAAAACACTCTAAAGAGCCCAAACTCTTGAATTCTCACTTGATGTCTTCACTGTCCCAGTAGTCTAGAAGATACTGTGAATGGGATGGAGGGAAAGCAGATGGGCAGAAGAATGTTTCAGGGATTTTAGCTCTCACCTGAAGAGATCCAGTTCATGAATACTGGGGAGAACCAGTGGGGCTGGTAACAGATTCTAAATGAGCAAGAAAAAATCTGTTAGTAAATGGAAGCAAGACGGAAAGGGCTTGGTATTGTGGGTGCCAAAAACTCAGAAATGTGTGAAAGGTGACAATGTTATTCAAAGGGAGGGGGAAAGGGAAAAGATGAACAGGAATCAAGATAGTTAAAGCTATAAAGATGCTGAGACGGCAAAAGCTGCAGAGTCATCTAGAAGACTAAGGTAGGATGTTGTGGAGGTCTACCTATGCATAGATAGATACATAGATAGATAGATAACCTAAAACATGCTTAAATTCTGTGTAGAGGTTCCTGTTTTGAAAGACACAAGTGTGAGATTGCTGCAGTTTGAGCTAGAAAACTAGTTTAAAACTCCCCCAATGCCAGGCAAGCACAGCTCCAAATGGAACGAGGTCTAAAGAGCCCCTTTTCTTCTATATCCTCCTTAGTAATCTAGATTCTGTGCATCACTGGCTTGTTTCATCCCACACTTTATCTCACCTCTTGATTAAATTGCTTCACTGGGCTTGATCCTGGCTTATCTACCCTGGACGGGATTCTCACCTAGATTATAAATAAGAATAGACAGGTTATCCAGGAAGAGGGACTCAACTAACGCGCAAACAAACTTTGCTTTCCCTAACAGCTTAAGAAAACTTCCCCAATTATCAATTCTAATTGTGCAGACCTTAGGGGTAAAGGGAAAGCATCTAGAGTCAAAAGCAATTCTAACATCCAGAAGGGAACAGAATAAATGTCTTTCCAGTTTATCTCAGTCTGCTGTTAGAGAATAAACCACCAGATTACATACCTGGATTACAACTCCCATCACCGGAAGGTTCAAAGTCTGCCCTGGCACAGGAGGAGGCCACTGATCAATCTCATTGCACACTGCAGGGATACAAGGGGGAAAAAAAAGAATAGAAAAATAAATGTTAATCCAAAAATAATCCAGCTGGTCCTATGATTTCTGCCCATTTACTTGCCACTCACTCCCTGCTCACTTGTCTCCAGCCTAGTTTCAAAAAGCAGCACATCGAGTGGCTGTGCACAGTTAGGTCAGGCATCAGACTTACAGTGCACTAGCTCTCTGGTGCAGATCAGCAGCACTACACTGCTGACAAGCCAGGATTAAGTGGAACAGTGCAATAAAGACCCAGAAGGAGATGTAGCATTAGCAGTATCCTCCTCTTTGGGAGTACACTGTATGCAAAACTGACAGCATCACCTACTAAGATTGCCAGACATTTCCCATCAAAACATCCTTTCAGTTATTTAGAATTTTGACAAGCTAACCATTTGGATCATAGTTCTTCTCTGCTGGAAATTGTTTCAAAATTAACTGATTTGAAACTCTGCATCTTTCTGTAATCTCTTCATAAAGCCACTGACAGGTTTCAATACACAAACCATCCCTCTTGGGCCCAGCTGCTCACCTGCCTCCAAGCAGGGCTCCAGCTTATCAAAGTATTCTGGAGCAATCAGCTGCAGCAAGGACTGGAACAAGTTCACATACGGGAGGCGTGACACCAGCACCAAGGACTGAAAAACACGGATTTAGGAGTCAGAGCTGCCCTGTCAGGATCATTTCTAGCACTTCATACAGCTACATTGCTTACTAGTGGGCTACACTTGCACAAAGGACACGCTGGTGGGAAAGAGCATTGAACAGTGTCACTGTCACTGGGTAACAGTGATCTCTCCAGCAGGAAATCTACCCCTAGATGGCTACTAACACAATACACCACAATAACAAGGGTAGAGCGAAGGGCATACCTAGCAGAAACTGCAATGATGAAGTGTATTATCTTGGTATCTGTGATACCAGAGTACACAGAGTTTGCTAAACAACTTGAGGGTGCAGCTCAAGTGATTAACACGGCACAGCAACTGCATCCAGGGCTGTTTGAAACTTCCCTTTCCCCACATTCCCGTTCTCCATGACCCTACAGAAACACTGCGGCCGTCACGCAGGAAATGCAGGTGCTATTTTATGGCTACGGATAGGTGCCGTTTTGCAGCTCCGCACCAACTGGGAGCAGCAAACTCTCTGATTTCAGGACTCACCTTCTGAAAATAACCTCTCTTCATGGAGCTGTCCTTGACTTGCCTGAAGTACACATAGCCGAAGTAGTGGGCTGCCTCCCGCTGCAAGAGAGGCCAACACCAGTTAGTGAGGAACTTGGCCAGGCCGGGCTCCCTGCTGCACCCAACCTGCCTCTTGCTACGACACAACTGCAGTGCTACCTCCTTTTTTAAAATCACCCATCACGTGGGTGAGTTTATCACGTGGGAAGAGAAAAGGGAGATACAACCAACTAGATTCACAAAAAAAAAAAAGACAGCCTCGAGGTAGCATCTTTCCTAGGTCCATCCTGCAGCTCCTTCAAGCTCCTTCATGTGCAGGGTTAACGGAGGTTTCTGCTAATAGCAGCAACCAGGTGATCCCAGCAGGCTAATCCTGGCTCTCAGCACCCATTGATCTGCTCTGACAGCCAGTTTCCTTCCCCAGAGGAGGCCAAGGTACCACTGAGGATGCAGCATGGGGGCTGTGGGCAGAGGAGACGGCCTGGTCTGTGCATCAGCCTGGCATCCAAGTGGGATCGCTCAAACTCCTCTCGGGACGGTGGCTACAGCACAAAGCTCAGCGATGATCTGCACAGCCAGCAGATCGCCAGCGGATTTTAATGCAAATCCCCAGCAAGCATTTCAAACACTCTGCACCCTCTCAATCCCCACAGACATCAAGAGGAGGGATAGACTTGAGCTCCTGACACTGAAACCGTCCTTAATTTCATTTCTTGAGGCACCGCAGAACCTACAGGTTAAGGCAGCTCTTCCTTTTCAAACACCATTCTCCCCTCCGCAGAATCCAGCGGTTTGGGTCGGATTGCTCTTTTTGAAGTCAGGTGTATCCACGAGGCAGCCTCCCTTTGCTGACTGCCTCAAAGCAGAAAAGATGCAAGTATAGACAAGGATCTACACTAGGATTTACGAAAAGAAACCCTTCCACTCCACCCCAGAGCAACTAAAGCATCTCACACAGGGATTTCAGAGGAGGAAAAGGCACGGGAAGCGATATTGCACCTGGCAGCAAGCAGGGAGGGCCATATGGCTGGATGGCAGAGCTCAGAGGGTGGTGATAAATGGGGCTGAGTCCAGTTGGAGGCCTGTGGCCTGTTCAACCTGTTCATCAGTGACCTGGATGAGGGCACAGAGGGCACCCTGAGCAAGTTTGTGGATGATCCCAAGCTGGGTGGAGTGGCCGACACTCCGGAGGGCTGTGCTGCCATCCAGAGGGACCTGGACAGGCTGGAGAGTTGGGCAGAGAGGAACCTCATGAGGTTCAATAAGGACAAGTGCAGGGTCCTGCATCTGGGGAGGAATAACCCCAGGCACCAGGACAGATTAGGACTCGACCTGCTGGAGAGCAGCTCCACGGAGAGGGACCTGGGAGTCCTGGTTGACACCAAGTTAACCAGGAGTGAGCAGTGTGCCCTCGTGGCCAAGAAGGCCAATGGGCTCCTGGCTGCATCAGGAGGACGTTGGCAGCAGGTCAAGGGAGGTGATTCTGCCCCTCTGCTCAGCTCTGGKGAGGCCGCACCTGGAGCACTGGGGGCAGTTCTGGGCTCCCCAGKACAAGARGGACGTGGAGCTTCTGGAGAGGGTCCAGAGAAGGGCAACCAGGATGATTAAGGGAATGGAACATCTCTCGTATGAGGAGAGGCTGAGTGAGCTRGGCCTGTTTTCTCTGGAGAAGAGAAGGCTSAGAGGGGATMTGATTAATRTGTATAAGTTCAGGAAGGGAGAATGCAGGGAGGAAGGGGACAATCTGTTTTCACTGGTGGCCAGCGATAGGACAAGGGGTAATGGACATAAGCTGAAACACAGGAGGTTCCGTCTSCAGGTGAGGAGGAACTTCTTCACTGTTAGGGTGACAGAGCAGTGGAACAGGCTGCCCAGGGAGGCTGTGGAGTCTCCTTCTCTGGAGGTCTTCAAAACCCACCTGGATGCCACCCTGTGCCCTGTGCTCTGGGTGTGCCTGCTGGAGCRGGAAGGTTGKACTAGATGGTCTCTAGAGGTCCCTTCCAACCTTGAATATTCTGKGATTCTGTGATCTGCTCCAGGCGAAAGCAGCAGGGCCCGGCTCCGTGCGCTGCGGACAGCCAGTGCACCGAGGGAACAAAACTAATGGATGCTCCTGGCACTCGTGCTCAGGCCTGGGTACACCAGCCAGYGTGCTGCACACCAGGGGATTTGGACCCTGGCTGGCTCTACAYACGCACAAGGTGCAACCAGTGACAGGAACTGTCATATCTCAACCAAAAAATGTCAAACAGCTCTTATTTACCACAGGCAAGGGTGTTCACAGCTTTTCTTGCCTCAGGTAACCTATGTGGGTAGCTGTGCACTTTGCTCCAGGTCCTCGGGTTTCTAACCTTCATCCTTCCCCACAACCAGACAAGGACATGGGTCTATTCCCATCTCCTCCTGACTCGGTTCTGTCTCTTAGAGTAGCTGGAAGTAGCTCAAAAATAGACTGCTGTGCTCATAAAAATGTGGAATTAAGTCCCTGTGCTGAAACTTTCCCCCCTTTCAGACTATTCCCATGGTCTGAGAAACGATTCAGAAAAAGTTAGTGTATGTGTGCATAGAAGGCACAAATCCAAGAGTGTATTTGGATTTGAAGCCCAGTAACGCTGCTGCTCCCTCTGTCCAGGTGGGCAGTGCCCTGGAGTGAGACTGACCTGCAGTGTCAGGGGCGCCTCTCTGTTGTACTCGCCGTCGTCCTCGTAATGAGTGGCCCTCTGTCCCCCGGACTGACGAAGGCGGAAGCTGAACTGGGTGTCCCCCAGGCCACCTGTGAGAGACCAACACAAACGCTCACAACAAAGCTGCAGTAGAAGAAGGCTGGAAATTGCTTGAATCAGAAATACTGGCAAAAACAGAGAGATTGGTTTACTAGAAAATCAGAAATGTCTCATATGGTGAAAGTAACAGCACAGAAACCCCCGAAACTCAGTGTGCCACGGGAAGGACTCAAGAGCTGCACGCAAGAACTGTTATCATTGGGCTGGATCTCGTTGGGAGCCCACAGCTATCACAAACATCAGCTGAGCAGCTGCAGCCACCGGACCAAAAACCCTGCGTACGGCCTTAATCTGGTGCCCAAAACACTGATATGAGGCCAKGTGCTCCCTGGGCTCAGCGGACCCTTCCCGCTATCCACAGGTGCCCCCCATGCAAGGCATGGGAATTGAGTGTGTTCTGGAAACATTACTGATATTTTCATAAGCCATAAATCTTCATACATTCAGAAATGTTACTGACAGTAAAAATTTTGTTAAGGGGAATAATTAGCCTGAATGTGAACCTAGAGCAGAGAAACTAGTAAAAKTTCCATCCTCAAAACATTTTAAATTAAACCAGATAAAGTTATAGAAAATCAACAGCCAGGATGCAGCCTTTAGGAACGGGTAGTGGTTATAAATTACCATGTCACTGCTTACTGTCACCTTCTGACTTAAGAATACAAACTCTGGGACCAGTTCTGTTGCAAAAGCATCCTGCTCCATGGCTTTCTCTTTGCTAACCTCTGCTCACAGGCACAGAAACACTGGCAGCTTTGGCCAGTGCTCACATCTCCTTGGCGTGGGCGAAGCACGAGCGCAAGAGCTGCCTGGGAAATCACCCCAGCACCCACCAGGTCRGAGATTCTGCATCCAGAGCTAAGCAGAAGGACGGGAGGGCTCTTGGCTGAGACCCAGGTGCTGCCCACGTCACGGCCAGCGCGGCCGCGGCCGATACCACCACTCGCTGCCTCCCTCGTGGGCCCGTTTCTTCCTCAGGAGCAGAGGGCCACCCTGCAGCCAGCAGGCAGGGCCAAGGGCTGCCACCTACCTGAGTACGAGTCGGGGAAGGACAAGTAGCAGATACTGGTTTTCTGCAACAAACCAAAACACATAGTTAAAAAACATCTCCTTCCCCACATCCAATCTCTTCACAAAGAGATTGAACTATCAGTGTTACCTCTTTCTCCGTCAACCTGAAGTCGTAGGGATACACCAACTGCAAAAGAGACAAGAGACAAGCAGCTCAGTCCTGGTGTTTCCCATGCACTCCTGCACAGGCTGGGATCTGCTTCCATATGGGATGTGCCCGATCCTTCCGCAGGGAGCACAGACTGTTTATATCTTAACTTGGGAGCCAATGGCTCAGCCAGCAAAAAACCCACCACCTATTTGGTGGCTTCACCAATTATTTGGTGACTTCACCAACTATTTGGTGGCCTCTGGGCCGCCGGGAAAGGCCTATTCCGCTGCTGCTGGACGTTATGGTAAAGTGGTTTTCTTCCCTCTCCAAGCCTCAAACCTAAGGGGGATTCATACTGAGTTTTGTACCTAAACACAAGCTCACAAATTGCCCCAAATAATGCCCTATACAGAAAACTTGGCATTTTGTGCATTCCGGACTCTTGCTTGGGGGAGCACCAGTTCTTGTTTTGATTTTTTTGCATCTCGCTAAAAATCACTTACAACTCATTAAGAAAACAGCAAAGATTCTGGAGACTTCACCAAGGCCAGTGGAGCCCACGAGGGCAACAGGAAAGGAGAGGGGGCAAATGCGGCTTCCCACGAGCCCTGTGGAGCGGCCAAAAAACCACGAGGGGATGGGTGCGATAGTCCAGCACCCAGGACCCGCGGGCAGGAAAGGGAGCTCCATTGTGCAGTGGGCTCTGTGCACCCGGGAAGGAAGAGCCTTCCCCTAAGAGCTGCCACCTGCGTGAAATCCAAGAAGACACAAGAAAGCAGCCCTGGCGACAGACCGAGGAGGGTTTTAGGAATGAAAACACGGGTATTAAGGATGAAACGCAGGCCAGGCAGCAGCGGTGGATGGTGTTGGGGAAACACCCTCGGTGGCAGCTTCTGCCAGGACACCAAACGCAGCAGCTYGCTCCTCGAGGGCAGCGCCGGGGTGCAGCAATAACCGGCAGCAAGTGCGAGTTTAAAGCAGCTACTCAAGTCCCAGCTTAGTGGCTGAACTACGGCAATGCTGGTAGTGCTCCTCGTGCATTTACTATATGTCAGGAAAAGAGAACTTAAGATTTCGCAGGTCTGGGTCAAGTGCAGAAGCTGCAAACAACTGACAGGACCAACGAGATCCCTCTGGGATAATTGTGCTCGTTGTAGAAGTGAGAAACAACACAGCAGCAGCAACGCTGAGCTGGCGCGTCGCTTGGCACAGGATGGAAAATAAAGGCTTTATGAATTTCTAGAAGTAAAGTAATAGTCTTTCTAGCACTGCCTGACGGGGAGATGTTGAAGCCAAATGATTCGGAAATTGCAGGTGGCTTCAGATATGTAGATGAGCAAGAAGYGACAGGGAAAGGGGAGACTTGCTCCTCGGCCGCTGCAGCTTCCACAACTGCTCGGGATCAGGGTAGGAAGCACGTGGCAGTCAAGGCAGGCGCTCTCTGGTTCCTGATGCTCCTTGGAAAGCTGCAATAGCAGCAGTGGGCAGGGAGGCAGGGCGCTGGGAGCTCAGGGCGCGAGCCGCCCTCACCTCTGCTTCRCCAGCAAGGTCGGCTTCGCAGCGCCAAACGACCCGTCAGGAACGGCCTTTGCGGAAAGCTTCACGGGGAGAGCAAAGCTACGGCCACGGGGTGCAAAGTCACCCAGCGCAGCGACGCCAAGGAGGCAGCAGCAAGGACGCGCGCCGGGCGAGCCTTCCTCGCAGCAGACAACCCGCTCCTGCGCTCCCGTTATCCCCGCCTTGGGCCAACGGTGGCCACCGCTGATTTACTGGTCACAGGAGCATTTGCTTTGTTAGTCCCTGCACAGCAAGGCGAGCAGCAGCGCCTGAGCCCCGCGCGCCTGGGGCTGACACGCCAGGAAGAACAGGCGCCCGCGGCGCTCCTACGGGATCGGCATCCCGGCCCAGCAGACGACAGCGGCTCCCAACACCCACCGTGGCTCTTCCGAGGACCTTGGCAAGGAGATCACTCCAAAACCTTCACAAGAGAATACTGACGGCTCTTGCTGCTTTATTAGAGCTGAGTGGCCAAGTTTAACATGGGCTACGTGTGTATCTCATTTGGGGCTATATGCTCAGTATTATGGAGGTAAAAAAAAAGCCCAAATGCTTCRATTTGAGCAATGAAACATGAATGGACCCCAGAATCTCAGGAGGGCTTGGAGAAGGTCATATTCCTGTGCTGTAGCACCATGTGACTAGCAACAGGAGGGACATTAACACCTTTTCAGTACTTTGAAATAATTTTACTTGATATTTCCCTGTAAAACAACAGCAGCCCGAAGTTCTGTATTTTCCCAGTTCCATCAATTATCAAACATGGGGTCTTTACGACACGGCTCTTGTCTGCAAGGACAAGAAGGCGATCGGGGATAGCCAGCACGGATGCCCCGAGGGAGATCCCGTTCGGCCAACGTGAGCGCCCTCCCGCCGGGACGACGGGCTGGGTGCGAGGGGAGAGCAGGACCACGCTCCGCTCGCCCTCCAGAGAGGCCTCGGACACCTCCACGCTCCCGGGAAGCCCGGGAGGGCAGTGGGATTGGCACGGGGGGCTGCACTGAGCCCCAGCTCGGCGGCAGAGCTCTCCAAGGTGGCACCAGCGGCACAGAGGCCTCTTGGAGGCCTCCGGCACAGGGAATGATGATCCTGAGCCGGGAGGAAGAGCTGAGAGCCCAGGGGGACCCGGGMAGCCCAGAGAGGGGCATGGAGGGACCTCAGGAGGTTCCTCCAGGGCAGGGTCCTGCCCCAGGGAGCAACAACCCCCGGCACCAGGACGGGCTGGGGYGACCTGCTGGGAGCAGCTCTGTGGACAGGGWCTCGGGGACAGCAGGGTGTCCCCAAGGCAGCGGTGGCCCTGGTGGCCACAGGGCCGCGGCCTCCGGCGCCGCGCGGGGAAGAGCGTCGGCAGCAGCCGCAGGGAGGGATCCGGCCCCTCTGCCCGGCCCTGGGGAGGCCCCGGCTGCAGCGCTGGGAACAGGGCTGGGAACGGGCACCCGGAGCGGCCGCGGGAGCGGGGAAGGGCTGCGGGCACGAGGAGGGACGGAGCAGCTCTGCCYGCAGCAGCGGCTGCGGCGCTGCAGCAGAGGAGGCCGAGAGGGGATCCCAGCAGTGCGTGCAAACACCTGAAGAGAGGGTGTCAAGAGGATGAGGCCGGACTCTTTTCTGTGGTGCCCAGTGACAGGATGAGAGGCAACGGGCACAAACCGAAACACAGGAAGGCCCATCTGAACGTGAGGAAAARCTGGGCAAGACTTCCCAGAGAGGCCGTGGAGCCTCCATCCTTGGGGACGTTCAGAAGCACCTGGACGGGGTTCCGAGCGACGTGCTCGGGGTGACCCTGCTTGTGCAGGGGGCCGGACCGGGTGATGTGCAGAGTCCCTGCCAACCTCAGTGGTCCTGCGATTCTGTGACACCGGTCCGGGCTTGGCAGGACACAGTGTAGAGCATGTGACACTAAAGTCATGGGTTTTCTGTTTTCAAGCTTCACAGAAAGAAACAAGTTCTAAATAAATAAATAAATAAATAAATAAATAAATAAATAAATAAATAGAGCAGCAACAGGGTACCTTGATCTCTTAATCCTTTCCCTTATCTGTAGAAGCTTCAGCATAACTTGTAACTCGAGAAACTCTCAATCCTCTCAATGAAACACAACGTCAATCTCCTTATGCAAAGGCCAAGGGAGAAGCAGCTCCCACAGCCACACAACAAACGACCGGGAATGGGAGACGGGTCCGGGGCTCGGCACGGGCCAAGCGTCGGCTCCCTGTGCACCGCTGGCTTTGCCAGGAGACACCGGCCCCGGCGCAGGGTGTCAGCCAGCCCTCCCCACCCTCCCAGCCCCCCGCATCCTCCCAGCCCCCCTCATCCTCAGCAGCCTTGCCGGGCAGCTCCCTCCCTTATGGGATCCCCATCCCTGCCCGGCCTTGGTGGGTGCCTCGGACAACTCCTGTCCTGCACCC